GTGTGTCCATTGAGTATGATGCTGGCTGTGGGCCTGTCATAAATGGCTTTTATTATGTTGAGGTATGATCCTTCTACTCCCGCCTTACTGAGAGTTTTTATCAAAAATGGGTGTTGAATTTTATCAAACGCCTTCTCTGCATCAATTGATATGACTATGTGGTTTTTTTCTTTCAATTTGTTTCGGTAGGCAAATTTTAAGTCTTACACAATTATAATGAAGATAGGAAATGATGTTTTTCCCTTGCTGCAGTTTTAAAAGATTTGATTTTAGGTGGTGGGCACACTATGCAATATACAGATGATGTATCATAGAATTGTACACCTGAAACCTATATAATCTTATTAACCAATGCCACACCAATATATTTAATATAAATGAAAGAAAGTTAAAAAAAAAAACAGACAGTGGCAAGGGAAAGGGGTTTGTCAATTTTGTCAGCTAGGTGACCTAGAAGTAACCTAATTACCTTGAGTTACAACCAGCTGGAACAAAATACCTTGCGCTGCTGAGCTATCAAAAGTTCTACACAAGGAATTTTTCCTTTTCTTTCTTTTTTAAAAATTGTTTTATTGATTTCAGAGAGGAAGAGAGAAAGAGAAACATCAGTGGTGAGAGAAAATCACTGATTGGCTGCCTCCCGCACGCCCAACACTGGGGATCCAACCCGAAACCCAGAATATGCCCTGACTTGAGAATTGAGCCCTAATCTCCTACTTCATAGATTGACGCTCAACCACTGAGCCATGCCAGTCCTTTTCTGATGGTAGCCTTAACAATTCCATGACGACAGGATGAAGTCTGTCAACTTCTGGATAAAAACAAATTCAAGTGAATTTTCACCCCAACATTATCATGCTTTTATGTTAAAATCCCCTGATTCAGGTCAGTGATTATCTTTTGAGTACCTCCAACGTTTTTACTAACCCTAGTGTTAATATCAATGTTTCTAGACTATTTATAATAGTAAATTTCTTGTGAAACCTAGCAGGCAGGTCATTAATCCCTTTTAAGTACGATTTAATGCAATGCTTCATGACAGGAAGTGAGAAGGATAATAAAAACCTTTACTGCTTAAAACCACACTTAATATTTTTATGGCCTAGTTGGCCTGACAAAATATTCTGAGTCATCACTTCAAAGCGAGGTCCTGGGGACTTATTAAAGGCATAACAGTGGGCCTCATGTCCATTGTATAAGGGCCCCACAAACTCGAACTGCTCAGGCAAGACCTTTTAAGTAAGAAAAAGCACACCAGAGGGCCACTGCAGAATGTTCTCCTGTGTCCCAGGGCCTAGGAAACCAGGTGATGGGGTGCCCATATTTTAAATATTTCAATCATATTTCTGACAGCTTAGCCTTGTATGGTTTTACATTTACTTATAACTGACCACATTCTACTGACTAAAGAGGTTATAAAGCCTTACATGTTTCTCTATCTAGATTGTTCAGATTGAAATAATCTGTCAAGTTCATTAAGATAAAGATTTAACTTGAAGCCATTTGCAAAGTGTAGGTTGAGAGAGAGGAGAACCAATTTGCAATGAACCAGTCATCTCCCCAGTCTCTGGGCAATAGTCAGGATAACCCTAGAACCACTTTTAAACCAAAATAAAAGCAAGAAGGAGAGTATGCAAGTCTCTTTGGCTTGTATGTAGGGCTTTGGTGTTTATTTTTAAATAATTTTTATTGATCTCAGAGAGGCAGGGAGAAGGAAAGAAAGAGATAGAAACATCCATGATGAGAGAGAATCATTGATCAGCTGCCTCCTGCATGGGATCGAGGGATCGAGCTCACAACCTGGGCATGTGCCCTGACCAGGAATTAAACCGTGACCTCCTGGTTCATAGGTTGATGCTCAACAACTGAGCTGCACCAGCTGGGCAGATTCTCATGTAATTTAAATATTATTTGTTTAGCATGCTTCATGTACCAAACACTATCTAGGCTCAGGAGATTCAGCAGGGGACAAATAGTGTCCCTGGCTTCATGGAGCTTACATTCTAGTGAATGTTGTCTTATGTGGTATATCCCTTACCCTTGAATATGACCAGCCAGCAGCCTCTGTTGCCCATCTGCAACTTCCCAAGTTCCTCAAATGAAGCCACTTATTAAAACTAAATAATTATCATCAGGTTTTCCTCTCTTCTCTACCACTTTTCAACCTCTTTCCCCCACTCACTGCTATGCCAACTCCCCCCCCCCATTCTTCAAATAGCCTTAAAAAGAAAAGTAAGTAGAAGGCAAACAAATACAAAAAGCCCATAGAAACAGATACTTGGGGATATTGTTATTTACCCTATCTCTTTAGGAATTGAAGCATTTTGAAAACAGAAGCTAGGCCTATTTTCAAGTAAATTCATTCATTCGTTCATATAGTAAGCATTTAAATTTATTTACTTATTTGTAGAAATGTCTAAACTATTGAGAAGTACAAGGAGAAAAACAACTCCCACTTATACTCCTCCCTACCCACCAGAATTAACCAGAGTTAATATATTGGCATAATTGCTTTTAGTCTTATAAGCATAAGCATTTAAGGTGGAGTATAAATAAGAACAACCCTAAACCTAATAATAAACATTAACCCTGTTTAACAGCATTTCACTCAATAACAGCACCCATTAGGTGCTTAATTGTATTCATTTACTAAGAAGCAGAATAAATGTTTTCGTGGAAGTTTCTAACAACATTGGTTCTCTGAGATGCAGCTGAATGACTTGCTGTAGCTCTTATTGCAAAGTCCTCACATCCCAAGTCCCACTTCAGGGTCCTCACCACACTACCACAGAGCTTGTCTGTGTACATACAAACATAACCCGGCAATGGCTCTTCTGTTATCTACAAAATATTTGGGTGTGGGTTTGGCGGTCGGACTCAACTGAACTCAAAGGCTCTTGTGAATGCAGACTTAACCGCAAATGATTAAACACACACACCTCTCTCTCTCTCTCTCTCTCTCTCTCTCTCTCTCTCTCTCTTACACACACACACACACACACACATACACACTTTCACACACACACACACACACACACACACACACACACACACACACACACAGGCATGCACATACACCATTGGCTAAAATAATTACAAAATGCTACAAAATGTTTAAGATAAATCACTTTTGACAGTGATTGCCCCTGGGGGAGGGGTAGCAAGTTACATTGGAAACTACCCCAATTTCTTCTTAAGTCATGTATCCACTGGCTGGGAAGAATTCCCAGCAAGCCTCTCCCACCCATTGTATCCCCTGGCAGCCTTCTTTTAGGGATCCAGTGTGTCTGAGTTCAGTCCTGATAGGTGGCAAAGAGAGAGAGGATTTCAGGGCTGCATATGCCTCTTGCAGGAAAAGGGCTATTTTTTCTGCCTGGGTTGGGTTGTGGTGGGGTGGTAAGAGCGGTAGGTTACCTCCAGCTGCAGCTCATTTCATTCCTTGCCTTTCCTTCACTCAGCTCTGAACCAAGTATAGGACCAGGCACGTTTGGTTTGCCCTTCCCGCGACCAAGCGGGGGATGGAGCTAGTGGAGCCGATGGGCTGAAGCAGTGAGAATCCTGATCTGAAGCCCTTGTTTGACTCCAGGCCAAGCGTTTGGAACAGCAGGCCTTTCATACTGGGAAAACCCTTGCTAGACCTGCTGGACATGCCACACAACCACATATGGCTCAGCTCATGTCAACAGAACTGATAACCAAATTGGGCTTCTTGGCTTCCTGTCCCCGGTAGCCTTGCCAACCCGCTACCCTCCAAGTCCCAATTAACACGCGGCTCCGCGAGAGCCATGAGGTGGGAGCTGAGGGTTTGTTTACCACACAGTTAACAGGCAAATACAACTTAATCACAAGGAAAACAGCTTTTATGAGAATCATCTTAAAGTCCTCCTACGGCCCTAGTAAACCATCCAGGAAGCCCAAACTGAGAGTTCCCTCTGATTTCAGTGCTGTTGGAGGGGGGGCCCGGAAGAGACAGATGGAGAGGCCAGGGGTCTTGCTTTTGCAGCTACCAGGCTAAGTGAATGCCTCTCCAAGTGACCACCCTACCTGACCCTTCTGTGGGCCGCAGGTCACTTTGGAAAGAGACAAAAGGTTGGGGGGGAAAATCTATTAACCAGAGCCCACTGAGCACCAGGCACTTTTCACATACTTTCTCTGTCTTTATTCCATCACTGTGTGGGAGACCCCTCTGTTACTCCCTTTTATGAAGGAGAAAACTGAGGTTGGATGAGGTGAATCACTTCGGGGGGTTACACAGCGTAAGTGCAAAAGTGGCATTCGAACCCAGGTCAGGTGGCCTCCAAACTCCATTTCCTTCTACTTCCCCTCTCCTAGGAGAAGATCTGGACTCTAGCTTTGGGCCCAGTAGTTTTTAGTCATGGGTTGCTAGGCATATCCATCCATAGCTCTGCATCAGTTTCTTTATCAGTATGATTTTATGAGAGAATCAGATTTGATAATATAAAGTTGTAAAGCAGTATGCCAAGGCCAGGGGCATTACTCACATTAAAGACAGGAGCACTCTAGGCCTGGGCAGCGACCTCTGAGAGTCACAGTTTATTACTCCAAGTCCGGTTGGTTAAAAATGAAGAGTGGATGTTTTATATGAAATTCTGATTTTTGAAATTAGTAAACATTTTATGAAACATCAAGAATGTATTTTAAGACATAGAGTACTTATGCATAGAAATAATGTCTATCTTAGGTTTATAATATAATCCAGGGGGAACTCATACTTAAGTGTTCAGAATAATCCATCACACTGTGGGGTGGGAGGGTGATTTGCAGACATTCTTTGTAAGTCAGTTTTCATAAAATAACTTCTATTTACCTAAGTCTGTGCTGTCCAATATGGTAATTGTTGGGGTCCAACCCCAGCAGGTCCAGGGGTTCCCAAAGGTGTGGATGGAGTCGGCAAGGAAGGAATGACACAGAGACAGCGTTCAGTTGATCAGCAGCCTAGCCAGTTTCTCTAGCCAGATTCTAGCCAGGTTCTCTCTGCAGACATTCTTAGTTGCTCACCCAGCCTCCATTCTCTTTTTCTTTTTTAATTTAATTTCTGAGAGGGGAGAGAGAGAGAGAGAGAGAGAGAGAGAGAGAGAAACACATTGATTGCCTCCTGCATTTTCCCCAACCAGGGCCAGGGATCGATCCTGCAACCAAGGTACATGCCCTTGACCGGAATCAAATCTGGGACCCTTCAGTCAGTGGGCCAACGCTCTATCCACTGAGCAAAGGGTTAGGGCAGAAAAGTCTTAATTGGAGTCTTCAAAGATGATTAGAATCTATATAGTTGAAGAGACAAGGAAAATCTTTTTAAAACGGGGAAAGGACAACAGCTTAAGAAAAATCACAGAGACAGGAACAAGAAGACATTTCTGGAGAGTTGACTCTTTGGAGTACTGGTTAGGTAGGGCCTTAAAGAACACTTTGAGGAATATGGATATTAACCTCTGCCATTGGGGAACCATTGAAAGTTTCTGAGTGGGAGGTGACATGATGAAACCATTGTTTTAGGAAAAATAATTTGAGGATATTTGGGCATTAATAGTTCCCCAAAGTATATCAGTGCTTTGGGCTGTTATGAATTACCTATATAATAATTTCAATTAGGTTTGGGGACAATTTTTTTGAAGGTTACTTGGGATTTGGGAGCAGTGCTCATTTGCTCTTTGCTGTTTCTTACCTTCAATTCATTTATCTCTGCCTCTGGAACATACCCAGTTATATTTACACACAGACGCATGTGCACACAGCCCATCCCCCTTTCTCCTCCTTCTCCCTGCTCTCCCCATCAAGCAGACTTGCTTCTCTCTATTACTGTCCGCACCCTCTATCCTTTATTCCTCATTTCCCTGGGCAGTTCTTTCTAGAAAAATAATAGGAAAGGCCTTCAGTTAATTTACCTTTTTAATATTTTATTTGTTGAAAGCCGACTGTGTAGCTTCTGGGGACACCGAATTAAGACATGGTACCTGTCCGTTAGTGCCAGCATGGTGGGCGAGATGAATATATACATTACTACAGCACAATATGATAACAACTCCATTGGGAAGTATGAACTAGAAGTAAAGAGATAGTAACATCAGGCAGAGTTCCAACACTGACAATTTTGGTATGAAGGACCCGGGGGAGTTTGAGGCACTCTTCTCCAAGTGGAGATGCCATTAAGCAGCTAGAGTCGTGGAACCAGGATTCCACAGAGAATTACAGACTGCAGAAGCAGATTTAGGAGTCATTGCTGCAATGTCAGTTGAAGCCAGGTAAGTAGAGGAGCTTCTCAAGGAGAAGACACACACATCCCCGCTCCCACCACCAACTTCTTTAGGAATTTGAAGATCCTAAATTGATATGGCACACTGATTGCTTATGGCTTTGTGTATGACGCTGTAAGTGTCCACAGGGCCTTATCATGACTTTCGTGGGCTGTAGTTGCCTCTGGATGCCCTCCTGCCCCACCACCTCTACCAGCACTTACCATCCCAGTACACCCCACCTGCGAGCACCTGTGGCTCTGGCCCAGTCCTCAGTGAGGCAGGCCAGAGGGCAGGGTGTTCATTGTCTCTGCGAGCAGCACTTAGCCATGAAGGGTGGGCATTGGGAGGTAAATACCCCAGATTCCTCACTCCTCATCTGGAATGACTTGAGCATATTCCACCCTCGGATCCAGAGTTACCCAGCAGGGCTGACCCTCGGTGGCCCACGGTGGTAAGCTGCTTGATTACACACTACTGACTTTGGGCACTTCCCTGTCCTCTCCCATTAACCTCTCGTCCTTCTTGGGACCACCTCCCAGAAGAACTACTTGCATTCAAATCCCTGTTTCAGGATCTAAGCTAAGGCAAACTGTCTGTTCTTTCTGGCCTTCTGAAGGTGAATCGTTTGAAATGTATAACCTGTTTCTATCCTTTTTTCATCTGCTGCTATACTTTGTCTTATCCTATGCCATATTCCCTCAATGCTACCTGGCTATAATCTTTCAAAACAGACATGGAATTATAAATGAAACTTCTTGACCCAGAAGACACAAATAGATAATAGACACCTGGATAAAAAGTCCCTCATCTATTCTTGGAAACAGGTGTAATGATAATCCTATTTTGTATTTACTAAAATCTTTCTTTCCAAGGAGTTCAAAGTGTTTCATATGAATCCCCTGTGGGCAAGAGCAGGACTGGCTTCTAGCACAGCTGTCAATTAGGAAAAGTGTAAATTATATGAAACTGGGCTTTAGAAACCATTCTGTTTCCCCTTCAAGTGGCCTTCTCTGCTCCCTGGTACTCTGACACCTGGCCCGTTTGTACTGCCCCATTTCTCTTTTCACCCCAACCTCACTCCTTCCCATAGTGACTGGCACTTAGCCATTTTTCAATCCATCTCAGCTTAAGGAATGATTATTGATATTATGAATATGGGGTTATTTTCCCCAGGAATATTTGCATATTTTTTATTTTTATTGATTTCAGAGAGGAAAGGAGAGGGAGAAGGACAGAAACATCAATGATGAGAGAGAATCATTGATTGGCTGCCTCCTGCACGCCCCTCACTGGGGATCAAGCCTGCAATCTGGGCATGTGCCCTGACCGAGAATCCAACCATGACCTCCTGGTTCATGGGTCGATGCTCAGCCACTGAGACACGCAGGCTGGGCTACATTTGCAGTTTAATAGGCCACATTTACACACTGAAAATCTGAAAAAATGAAATTAAGTAGCAGAATCACAAGCAAATAAGAGCCTTTGGTTAAAGATAATATTAGGCCATTTGGCAATCTATATGATCTCAAACTAATCAATGGGAAACTTTCAAGAGGAAAAACATGGGTTCATGTGCTCCCACCATTTCTGTTTCAGAGACAAGGTTAAATAACAAAAATGAAATTATGAGATTCCATATATGAAGTTTTGTGCCTTTGATTACCCAGAGTAAGTTAAACGTGTGGGTTTAGGTTAAACTTTAGGGAGTATTTGCTGTGTGCTGGGCACTCAGGAGATGCAGAGAAAGGAGAATGTGAATGCTTCCTGTCTTTGTGGAGCTTACTTGTGAGACCCTCTCTACCTCAGGGTTAAAGAGTGAAGACTTCGGTTCTTAAAATGGGCTCCAAAATCGGTCTGCAGGGTGGGGACCTCTGATTTGATCAGAATCCAGAGTTAAAGAAAACACTGTGCTTCCAACTAGGAGGGTTTTAAAAAGGCAACTCCTTTTCTTTAAACCATACTCTCAGGAAGAAAGAGCATAGTACTTGTGGATCGTAGAAAAGCCACTCTTCCACAACCTCTTTTCTTTTCTTTTTTTTTTAAAAAATATATTTTAATTGATTTCAGAGAGGAAGGGAGAGGGAGATAGAAACATCAATGATGAGAGAGAATCACTGATTGGCTGCCTCCTGCACACCCCCTACTGGGGATGAAGCTAGCAACCTGAGCATGTGCCCTGACTAGTATCCAACCATGACCTCCTGATTCATAGGTCAGCACTCAACCACTGAGCCAAGCTGGCAGGGCAAAATAATGGTGGTGAGAAGATAGGAAATTCTTCTGACATATGTCTTCCTTAAAAAAAAAATGTGCTCCAGCAAAGAAAGATTGATTGAAAAATAGCACAAATACATCATTTCCTTTCCCCTTCCCAAATATGAAACATCAACTTTGGGGGAAATTTTTTTATGCCAGCAACTTAGCAACACAAACACACAACTTCAAACCCAAAAGGGATTTCCCTCCCTAGGGGAGGAGTGCCCTCTCTTTCTTGGGTATAGTCCCGTTAGAGACCACTGATAGAGGCTGCCTGCTAAGACTGTGGAACAAATGTTTTGTGCTCCAATGTTGCAGAATGTACTCAGCAGAAAGATTCTTTTCTGTTTTCAAATTACAGTTCACATTCAATATTATTTTGTATTAGCTTCTGGTGTACAGCATAGTGGTCACACAATCATATAGTTTACAAAGTTTTCCCTCAGGTATTTCAAGTAGCCACTTGACACGGTACATAGTTATTACAATACTAGAGGCTCCCTACAAGGATTCGTGCACCAGTGGGGTCCCTCAGCCTGGCCTGCGGGGATCGGGCCAAAAACAGCTCTCCAACTTCCCCTGAGGGATCCCAGATTACGAGAGGGTGTAGACCAGGCTGAGGGACCCCACCGGTGCATAATCAGGGCCGGGGAGGGACATGGGGAGGGCTCCAGGGCGTGTCTGGCCCATCTCACCCAGTCCCGATCAGATCAGCTGGACCCCAGCAGCAAGCTAACCTACCAGTTGAAGCATCTGCCCCCTGGTGGTCACTGTGCATCAGAGCGACTGGTTGAACAGTCAAATGAACGGTCGGACACTTAGCATATTAAGCTTTTATTATATAGGATTATTGACTATATTCCCTCTGCTGTTCTTTCCATCCCTGTGACTGTTTGGTGACTACCAATTTGTACTTCTTAATCCCTGAACCTTTTTAACCCAACCCCCTTCCCTCTGGCAACCATCCATCTGATTTCTGTGTCTATGAGTCTGAGAAAGCTTATTTGCAAAGTGTTCAAAGGCTGGCGAAGCAGCCACTCTAGTTGGGGCTTTCTACACCCCAGGCCTTCCCTGACCAAATTGATTCAAACTCTATGAAAAAAATATATCTTTTTTTTTCCGATGACCATAACAGCTATTTCC